ACTCAGTAGATCTCCAAATGTGTATCATGTACTTGCATATATAAATATCTTGTAACACCCAGATCAGAGGAGGCATCAGCCTGAAATACATGGTTAAACCAAGGTGGTCACCAAATGTGTTTTATTTACCTTTGACTGTCACCAACACGGCACTGTAGGTCTGCCCAGCCAGATTAGTTGCGTTGCACGTGTAGAGACCATTATCCGTCTGCTTACAGTACAGGATCTTGAGGATGAAGTTCTCAGCATGGTCCTCATATATGACTTGTCTACGGCCTTCAGTGATATTTATCCCATCCTTCCTCCAGATAATGTGAGGTTTGGGGTGACCTGTCACAAAGCAGCTGAGCTTAGCATGTTTGCCCTCAGTCACTGTACAGGTGCGGGTGAAAACACCTTTGGGTAGCTTTGCCAGAGCGGACGCCCTCAACTCGTGATCCAGACTCAGAGAACTCAATCCATCAGTGATGATGGCCTTGGAGGAGGAATGCGTGGAGCTGCTCTCCTCTGTGCGATAGACAGAAATGTCCTTCTTCATTTCTTCCTTGCGCTTTTGTAGATGCGAGAGGAGAGAGGTGCTCTTGTCTGAAGCCAGGTGCAGAGAATCTTGGGAATCAACAACCAGAGCTGCTGCAGCTTGTGCGCGTCCCACACTGTTCTGTGCCCTGCAGGTGTAGGTGCCGCTGTCCAGGTTCCGTACACTCTGGATCTTCAACGTGCTGCTGTCGGTGTTGGAAACGACCCTTATGCGGTTCGTCTCCCCCAGGTAGCGGCCATCCTTTTCCCAGTCGAAGTTGGCGTCAGGGTGAGCTGCAACCTTGCAGTGGAAGACAACATCACCTCCCAGCCCCACCCGTACAGAGGTGGGCTTATCTGTGAAAAGAGGGGCCCTCTGAGCCATTTCTGTTGGCAGCGCCACCTTGACGGTGACAGCAGCATATGCCTCCCCGACGCTGTTTTTGGCCCGGCATATGTACTGGCCACTGTCCTCCAGTGTTAGGTCGTAGATGGTCAAACGGTAGATGTCTCCATCCTTCACTGTCTTAAAGCGGCCACCAGACGTCAGGTTCAGCTTGCCCTTCTCCCAGGTGATCAAAGGGGTTGGGCTTCCTACAATGGTGCAGCTGAGCGTGGTATCCTTGCCTGCACACACTGAGAAAGCCTTTGGGCGGGTGAGGAACCTGGGGACTCCTCCAAACAGATTTGGATCCATAATTTTCCTATAACACAAAACAATACAGGGAGTTACAGCAGGAAGCAACTTTTTAGAAACAGTTTTCAATATATTTCTCATTACTATAAGGTAGAAATAATGGAAAAAAAGACAGATTATAATTTAGCAAATATATAGTGGAATCAATGCAATTTTAGAATAAAATTAACTCTTAATTAACTATTTCTTCACTTTGCACTTTCTTGTAATTAAAGATTAATACAACTGGGTCTCTAGTTTGAGCTATAATAGTAAATAATTGCAAATTAAACTTGAGCAGGTTTGAAATAAACTTTGTCAAGTGTAAATCCAAGGAAAAAGAGAGAGTAAAAACTTCTCACTTAAAGTAGTCTCCAAGTAAACATGTTCCTGAGGATCTTACTACCTTAATTACTGTTTTGGGAATTTCTGCAAAACATTAAGTTAAATTAACACGACACATGTTGTTGGAGGGTGAAACAGTGTCAACTCATTTGAGTTGTCTATTGTCGGGCTTTATCTGTTTTCCATGAAGTGGGTGATAATTACAAATGCAGCAACATGGTTTACTGAAGATGAGTGGAAACTGGTGCTTATGAATTTAATTAAAAATGTTCGAATTAATAATAAAGGGAATCGCATTTCCCACAGCCTGGCATTTAACCAGCAGCAAACTTAAGCTTTATTTCCAGGCACTAGGAGATACTGACAGCCTTGTTCCAGTACTTTTTATATCTGTATGAGCATGTAGAACAAAACGTCATAGTGCATTTGATGGTAATGTTTAAGGATAAGAATACACAATAATAAGCAAGTAATTTGTGCATGAAGCAGATGTAAACATCATTGTTTTTGTTGTAGCTGAATTAACAGAAGTAATTAACAGTAACAAAACATGTTTAAGGACTAATAATTGTTTGAAATGCTTTTTTCTCCCCTGTAGACCCATAAATCTCACACATCCCTTGTTCCATACAGTAAAAACCTGTGCAGGACGTGACAGTTTGCTATGTCTCCTCTACAAACATGCTATGAAAGAGGACATAAATCAGGTGTCATGTTTAGAGCTGCCATTAACGCAGGGGCCCAGCTGTGGACACGTTCATCTGTGCAGAGAAATCACCTGCAATCACGTTATTACCTTTCAATGTGCAAAAAGGTTTGACTGTACGACTGGTTTGACAGGCACGCATAGTTCCCCGTGTTGCACAAGGTCAAACCGAGCAGATATGTGCCTTTCAGAGAGTAACATTAAGCAGCTTTGTCACCTCTGACGCTAGAACTGCGCGTCCCCAAAAATAACCTCAGCTGTCAGACTCCGTCTCTGTGCATTGCCATTTGTAGAAGCGAAAGGAACATGGAGTGTTTGATAAAGGTCCAACTTCAAGCATGTTTCGGACTGGCCCTTTAAGATAACCAAAGCCACTTTAACAATATTTTCTTCATGTATATATAAATTTATATGTAAACAATGTATTCTTTATTTACCAATGCAACCTACATGCTTGTCTGTTTTAATAATAACTCCTTCACGCGTATAAATACTTAGGGGCGCCCTCTGTAATTTACATAATAAAAGCTAATAAACTAATAAACACTGTGCAAAAAGATGTTAAAACTATATCATGAGGCGTGTCTTTTAGTAAACGCACCACGTCAATTTTACTGTAAAAGGAATATAAAGGCAATTTGCGTTAGTACTGTTTTTTACCTTGTATCTTCAGCAACGCAGATAAAATCACGTGGGTTTAAACTTCACTCCTGCGTCCGAGCGCCTGCTCTGTGCCTCTGCTGTAAGTTTTGCTCAGATATTCCAACAAAAAATGTTGTGTTTGTCCTCAAATATCCTTGAAAAGGCCGTAAATCCAGGATGGTGGAACATCCCCCCCAGTCTCCTGCAGTGGGCGGTTGACTAGACTTATTTTCCCCCTTTCTTCTCCACTACCTCTAGATGCCAAATAGCTGACGTGCCAATTTAGGCGCAGCCTCCAGTTTAAAATAGACAGAGGAGATAGAGGAGATGGGGCTGTTGGTGAGGGGACCAGAGCAAAGCACACAGACCCGGACTGGACTGGACACATTTGTCAGGAAGTCCATGACAATTCATGAAGCAGATTATACTACAGTATGACCTAATTCTGGTCAAGGTTAAGTGTTTTAAACTGTAAAACTTGTTTTTATATATATATATATATATATATATATATATATATATACAATGACGTTATATATATATACAATGGCGTTACTTTTAAAGTTTTAAAATGTCATTCCAGATAAATGATTGAATTTAACATGATAATAATAATAAAAAACCCTCTAAGTTAACAAGAGAAAAAGCAATGTTTTTTTAATGCATGAAATAGACATTAATATGCAAAATGGCTAGTTAAAAGTTTTGGTAAAATATGATTTAATAACACTCACCTCACTAACTTTTCTTTGTCTCCTGGAACCCAAAAAGTTTGGTGGTGGTCACTGTGCTGCTGTAAGAAAAGACATAAATAGAAAATATATATATAACAACAGCAGCAACAACAAAAAGCCTCTATCATAAAATATATCATTTCTAAAAACAAATATTTCATTTGGTTTGAAACACATAGCTCAATGATAAAATAATTAAATTAATAATAATGATAATAACAACGTAAAATAGTCTTTAATTGCAGCATGAAATCTATAAACAGACTTTTTCTGATTTGGACTGTCTAAAGGCACTATTACTGAATGATTACCTTAAGGACAAACATATTACAGGTACTCTATAAGTGAATACATGCATATTGCATGTGTTGACCCTTTATTCATATTTCATGCATTGTCTGTAGGATAATTGGTGGATTAGCTGATCCTGTCACACGCTGTTCCCACTATTGTGAGCTGCTTTACAGCTGCCATAATAAAGGCATGACCTCATATCATAAATGTGTCATACTCCTCCCTCCACCTCCACCCACACGCTCACAATGAAGAAAACACTTACCAATCGTTCAGCATCTAATAATAAAAAAGAAAATCATATATATATCATATAGTAAGTAAGTTGGTCTAACACATCAATGTGTAATCTTCAAAATAAGGAAAATGTATCTTGACCTTCACTACTCTATGTCATCTTGGTGTTTCCTTACTCTGTCAGTGTGGGCTTTCCCCCAGTGGCAGTGAGTGACAGCAGCAGCTCGGCTGGACATGGGTTTTAACTTCCTGAAACTCAAGCAGATAGTCAGTCACTGCTGCTTCACACCCCTCCATCCTCTTCAGGGCTTTTTTTTCAATATATATATATATATATATATATATATACAGTGGATAGGATGTTACAAGTAATATGAATAAAAAAAAAAAACAAAGTAATATATTATTAAAAATAACAGCTGGTGTGGATGTGCGTTTTTGCAGCACATAACTTGTGTGTTTCAGATGACAGTTTTAAGTTCCACTAAGCAGCAGCCGTCAACATAGGAAGCTTCTAGAATGATACGCCTATGACTTCATACTTATTCTGTTTCACTTTTCCTTAACTATTCTAACGTTTTACAGTCTTCAAATGTAGTGTCATAATTAAATAAAACTGATTTTTTAAAAGGCCAACACGAATCAATAGATTAAGAATTGCTATGTTTATTTAGTTAGCTAACAGTTATTTAACTGTAAACTAACTAAATAAACATGGCACAATTAACCACGAGTGAAATTGGTAATTATACTTAAAATAATATTTATTTGTCGCTCTACTCACTCAAAAAAAAAAAAAAAAAAAAAAAAAAACAACAAAGAAAAACATATCCTAAAGCTGAGCTGAAAATTAGTTCTTTTGGCATGTTTAATAGTGTCTCTTATGTTACAAAGTAAAACCAACCAACCAACCAACCAACAAACAAACCTAAAACAATCTGAAAACATGGTCAACAGTCCAGGGTGAAAAATTAGCACCTTGTTCCAGCCACTGTGATTTACTGACTGGTGTATAGAGAATGAAATGATGATACAAGGAGATGATCAACCATGACGTCACCACATTAGTCTGCTTTTTTTTTACATTTTCAACAGAGCACAATTTTAGACAACATGATGGCAAGAAATACACTATCAGATGCAACAAGCTGACACAAGGCCTTAAACTCAGTTTGTAGCTAAATTCACAAAGCCACACTTACAATTCTACATCATCGTGTAATGCTAAACACATCAATTTGTCAAAGAGAATCCTTATCCTTAATACTAAGGCACTGCTGAAAACAACACAAAAAATGAGTGACTTTCCAAAAAAAAAAAAAAAAAAACAACCAACAACCCTGTTCACACATTTTCAGCCTAACAAAACACACAACGGGATGGAGCACAAATAAACAAAGAGCATTATCCGTGTAGCACATCTTGAGTGTGTGACAAAAATACAAATCATCCCCTACAGGGCAAACTTGTATTGACCACAGGGAAGATCGACCTTCAGTGGGTTCAAACAGTGGTTCCATATGGTCTGCTGTGCAGCAAGGTGCTGATTTACATGTACATGCTTATATACAAACAAGAGAGGAGGTCATTTTAGCATGGAGACGCATTTAGTGTCTCAGTTCAGACAGGACCTGCGTCACATGTAACTGATGCACTTTGTGAGTGGGTGTTTTTATTTCAGTGCAAAAAACTTTTTTTTTCCTTAAATGTATTTACAAGGGCTGTTAATTAATTCGTGAAATTGATCAGAATTTTCCAACACCTCCCGACTGATGCCACCTATGTCCACCTTCACCATTACAAGCAGAGTTTGTGGAGGCTTCAACTTCAGGTCAGACTCTCGGCTTGCGTCAGACCAGCCTCGCCAAGCTCATTTTACCAAATTAATAATTCGATCATATTAATTAGTCACAAATAAACAAGGTGTGAAACAATTACACCTAGCTGTTAATTGTCTCTATTTAAGCAATACAGAGAGAAGTTTAGGAATGTTGATTTATCCCAAATTTGATTATTTAGATCACAATGAATGTTGATTAATCCACAGCTACTCTGTGATTAAGCAAATAAAATCATTCAGTCCTGTGAAAACCCTAGAAACAATCAGATTTCAGCCCTGCACCTGTTGCCCTGTCCATACAATCCAAAAGAACAAGGATAAAATTATTGCCGTAAACCTTGGAGAAAATAAAGCTGGTCGGACTGCAGGATTAGGCAGATTCTGTCCCTACGTCGATTGAATTTAAATTACATTACACATCATGCAGCCGGCCGTGTTAACTTTGCACTTCAAAATCAAAAATACATTTTTTAATCCTTTCTTTCAAAGGGGTAGACCACATTGTTTCAATCATCGTCTTCAGTTTCTGTGAAACCTTTGTGAGAAGCAATCAAATAAATAACACAAATAAAATATTCATCAATTAAATACATGGAGGAAAACAGGTCATAAATACTCTGAAAGATAGAAACTGATAAAGACTGATGGCTTTTTATCGCTCTTACTCTAAAAACACAAAAATCTTAAGAAAATACAAATGTGCTCTTGTTTCAAAAGTCTTAAAACCCAACTCATGCTCTAATTTTAGGGGCATGCAGCAAAAAATTCTTAAAATATTACCATGCCTGATATGCTTAAAGAAAGAAAAGATACCTATACATGTTTCTGGGACATATTTAAATACATTTGTGGGGCAATAAATAGAGCAGGATATGAAATAAGTTTCCATTTACACCTGATATTGAAATCAAAATTGAGATAAATGATGTGACTGAACACAGTAAAAATGTGTAATGTAGATTCTGTAGAGGTAAGATTTTTCTTTCTGTAAACGCTGGATTTTAAGTGTAATGTTCTGTGGGTGTGAAAGCCAACTCTGACATTTTATCTGCTTTGAAAATGTGATGCCAAGTGTAGCTGGACAACAAGTTAGGTTTGTTTGTGTCTTCGTAGCTCAGTAAAATAAAATAATAATACTGAAAACAAATCTGCATTTCTAACTCCTCTAATTACACAGCAGCAGCATCAGAAAGGATATGTTTGCCTAGTACACTGCATTTTATTACCAGGTACACGTGTTGTTTTTGTAGTACAGCTATTGTATAGTCAGCTCTATCATTTCAATACTCATCAGTACTCTTTTTTTCCTTTTTAAGGTATGGATCTGTTAGAAAAATATGTACTTCTAAATGATGTGTATTTACAGTTAACCCAGAGACGAGACGTAAAACTTAAAATAAAAAAAAAACCCAAAAAAAACCAAAAACACTGAAATTAGTTTTTTTTTTCAGATGAAGACATCATTCTGTAAATAGAAAATGGTGAAACTTTTTCTAAGATTCACAAATACTTGGTGTGCATAAATGAAGGCTGAACACGACTGCTCGCTCATCATCACGTGAATGCTATGGATACACTACATCATACGTCAAATACATGTTCGCTGCAGTCTTCTGCACGAGGTCCGTGTCAAGCTGATGATTTAATGGATGGAAGACACATGGTTTCCCTGATGCCAAACGTCTGTCTGCCGTCACAGGATGAAGCGTTGAGGTTGACACATATAGTAGTTATTCAAATCTCATGTTATTTTATGATATATCTAAAGTCCATGCTAAATTCTTCATGAAGGTCATCTAAGGCCACAATGTTCATTGAAGAAAGTAAAGTGTAAACACTATTAACAAAGGGGGGAAAATTATGATGAAAAGCTGTTTCTGGACAAGATTAGAAAATGTTTGCAATTTTAAAAGGTTTAAAAATAAAACAAATCAACTGTATACCTCTATGACATAAGGCACTTCAACAACTACTTCCAGTGCCAGGCTTTGGAGTAGACCCGCTGTTGATCTCCTGATCATCTTCATTCTCCTCTTCCTCTTCCTCTTCCTGCCAACCACCGAGGTGGACAGTTGTGGTTACGGGAAGGTTGGAGCCAAGTTCTGTCTGCTGTAGGACTGACAAGAGGTGTACAAAAAAAGTCTGTTAACTGATCCTGGTTTACACCACCAGTGATCCTGGTTTAAAGAGAAGTATTGAAAAGTACGTAACAAAACTATGATCATCAAAAAAAGAAAACCTTGAACCTTTTTCCATTTACCTGTGTTTGTGTGTAAGTTTCTCATTGGCACTGTATGCTGCCACTGTCCCAGATTTCTCTGTGGGTGTGAAGTCTGCAGATGGAGCTGAAGGGACACACATGTTAATGAGCAGCAAAAGACTGTCAAATGAAAATCTTTGTCATTGAGTGATTTGAATTCACTTAACTGTGAAAACTCCACTATTTTCCCTATTAAATCCCCTAGATCAATAGCTCTCAAACCTTTCCACCGCAACCTTCAAAAATATCTCTTAACTCTCCAAGTACCTGGAGCGTGACCGACATTAAAATACAGCAGCAGTAGTAACAGTATTACAGGGTTCATACACATTTTTTAGCAATATTTTTCCATGACTTATCCATAACATACTCTGTAACACCAGAAGGAGCCCAAGTACCACCAGTCAATACACTGAAGACCCATGGGTTTCTGGAGTAGTAAGTCACAGAAAAAACATTTTTAAATAGTAATTTTCTCATGGGGTTTTAAGTTTTACCTCGTGCATGTAGATGGCATGGAGACTCATCTCTGCAGAGCTGTACTCCGACTGCAACGTGTTACTCCGAACGTGTGAATCACTGCGAGTCATACTTGAAAAGAAACCAAATTATGCCTGTTAATCATATTGAAAACAGTCATCGTGTTCAATATTCACTTATTTACTATACACTAGATGATGCAGTAAAGTCACATAGATAATGAGTACCTGTCAATGATGGTGCCATCACTGCGGTACATGGCATTGTCAGGGTTGACGGAGGCGGGCAGGAGATTGTGTACGTGGCCGCGGTTGGTATATGCAAGCTGAGAGGTGGACAAGGAGGCGAGTACACTGGCAGCAGCAGAGGCCGCTGTATTTGGTGGGATGAGGCGATGGTCTCCTCCCTGTAGTCCAGACGCAGTTAGAACAGGGTGGGCCAGAACACTCGCCAAAAGATTCTCAGGCTGAAGACAACCAAACAAGTTAATCAAGCGGCTGTCAAAGGTGAAACTGACACACATTTAAGGGATCACAGAATACCTTGTGTTTTGTGAATAAAAAAAACCCCAAAACTGCTTACTCATGGCAATTATTTCTCAAATAAATATGAATACACTTTACTTATCATCATCAGACCCAATCATCAGTTTAAATGTATTACTGTTTATAACACATGTCCATCGATCAGCATTTACAACATTATCATTAGCTCTCAGTTCTTACCCCAGTGGCAGACTCATTAGACTGTAGGGAGGTGAAGAGAGGCGCCTCAGAGAGCAGCAGTTGGGTGGAGGGCCCAGTCTGAGCGTCATGCTGTACCTTTTCCTTCAGATGGCTGATAAACACCGAGCTCTCTTGTGGCGGCTGCCAACGTGGGTTCTTTATTGTGAAATGCATGAGAGACAATTCCGTCTTTCCATTTTCTGCCTGTTGGTAAACGGAGGCTTCCGTCTGACCCTCTGACAACCACTGTGGAACAGTTTGGAGATAAATCAGCTCCAGAACTGACTTGTCAATAACACAACAGAATGTTACATATCAATAGAGTTAAAGACTTACTGTTGGATTGCCATGGCGCCTGATGTCCATCTGCGCAAAGGAACATATGTCTCCAACTCCAACCACTTCTACTGTGAAGTTCCTGAAGAAATCAATAATTTCTAAAGATTTGTTCCTCAGATGGAAGATGAGGATGAAAGGGGTGACGATTGGGCTGAGCAGTTCCTCCAAAATGAAAACCTGATGGGGACAAAATCATAGGTTTCCAAAGACTTAAGAATGTTTAGTAAACAACTTCACTAAAGTGTCCAGGTTTGACTGTATGCTAACAAATTATTTATAGTAACTGGGTGCATCACAAATAGTTTCAGATACACAAGGATGAAACATCTCACTGCTTTGTACTGGAACAGTTGAGCCACCTCATCTCGGGTCTCACTCTTGTTAGCATGGCCCCTCCAGTGGTCAGGCATGTAGTGAATATGTGCAAGCATGCACTGAAGCAGCTGTTCTGGACACCACACCATATGTTCATCTGGGATGAAGGACCTGGGTAAGTATAAACCATTTAAAACATATAAACACAGTACAACTGCTTCTATTGTGTGTGATACTCTGTATCAAACATCAACCAAAAAACTAAATTATATTATGATTTACTTAGCATTAGCAAACAAAATAGACTGGAATGTAAAGCCTATAGGTTGCAGCAACAAACACAAAATCACACCAGAACTTACAATATACAAAACACTTACAATACTGAACAAAATCAGCCAGAGATATTTTTCACCTACAGAAAGTGAAAAATATCTCTGGCTGTGAAAACTCACCTGGTGATGGTTATAACCACCCCCAACACAGTGATGGCAGTGAGGATGTGTTGAACCGTCAGAACATCCTCGTCATAGACTGTCAGCGCAATAAGAACTGCCAACACTGAGCCTGAGAAGAAAGCTACGTTCTTTGCAAGCACAGTCAGTAGTGGTGATGTGAAGGAGTTCATGTATTTGGAAGTGGGTTTGTAAGCACGACCTAAACGTCCGTGCAGCTCGTGATCCAGTTCATTGAAGTGTCGCAAATACAGTCGACCGTACAGAGACCAGCGTCGAGCACCGAGGTTTCCAGGTTCTCTGCGGATCACCTCTGTGTAGCTGAAGAACGCGTACAGCACTTGCCAAACCAGGATGAAGGGGCACAGCAGCAAATTAGCCAAACCCATGAGCAGGATGACTCGACTGAGCTGCTGAGCCAGCTCTAAGCGGTTTCCATTACGCTTGTACTTGGGGTGCAAGTTCCACTTGTTTTGAAACAGAGAGCCCGGTCCCCAGAAAAGGATGAGCTCAAAGTTATATTTTAGGCCTTGGGTGAGGAACACCACATTGCCCAGCAGGGGAAGCTGCAGCTCCACTGGCAGCAGCGATTTGTTAATCATTGCCACCATGTAGTTTTTGAAACGCAGGATGCGGTGGTAGATATCAAGTTCTGTGAGCTCTTTTTTGTGTATGCACATCTGCTGTTCTCGTTGCAAGCTGATGAGCCGGTCTTGGACTTCCTGCCATGTGAAGTTGCATAGTTCATCCTGAGACAAAGACATACAAACAACACAATGAACGACTGCAACAAGATACATTTAAGCAATGACAGCTCCTGCTTTTGCCCAGCACTTACCATCCTGATTTTCAGTGCTTTTATGTAGAACTGCCTAATCTCCCAAAAGCTTAGAACATTGCAAATTACTTTAACAAGTCGGTAAATCCAGAAGATCGCCGCCATGATGAGAAGAAATATATTCCAACTGTTCTCTTGAATCCTGAGTAATAAAAGAGACAAAAACAGGGATGTGAACAAGGTGCTGTGTCAAGTAGCAAAAATAGGAAAAACCTGTAAATCTCTTTGTGTGTTGTAATTTATTTAACTGATACCAAGCCTGTTTACTGGTTCTAGTTGAAGTGATCTTCTCACCTCACTCTTTAATTAAGGAAGGTCCTCAGTATAATGTATCAAAACAGGGGCTACGTTGAGAATCAGCAACATACAAACAACCACAGAATACAGCTATAACCCGAGCAATGGTGGGTTGAAGAAATGACTGTGCTGCAGCAATATAAAGGTAATAAACAAATATATAAAGGCAAAAACAAATGCAAAGTTCACTTAGCTAGTATCTGGTTTAAAGTGGAAATAAGAGCTGAGCCATGATGAGGACAGAGGTGTTCCAAGCTGTGGGACAAGCTGTTCCCAAATTAGAATTCCAAGCAGTTGAATAATGTTGATATAAAAGATGTGTGAGTCACAATCAGAATATGCAACAAAACACATTTTAGAGGTCCTGGACAGGAGTCAAACAGAGGAAAAAAATAACCCAAAATAAGGACAGGGTGGTCTGTGTCAGCTTGAGATTGGAGTGTCATGTGGTTGTCACCCTGCAGGCCCAGTCAATTTGTCAGTGTCTCAGCCGGCAAGTTTACACCACTGAAGCTATCAATTACAAAGCTGTGTTCCCCTGAAGCTAGTCTGAAGGCAGAACAAAAATACCTTGTAGCAATGGTGCAAAATAAAGTCAGCAAGTTTGAACTAACTACTAAACTGACTTGTAAACAGATAAACACTAGCATAAAAACTAGGATATAGTCTTAACCTGGGAACAACAGTGATCTATTAATGTTTCATACAACAAAATCCAAGCTTAGTCTATTACTTTAATAACTAGAATGTGAAATTTAACAATTATTTAATCTGTGACTGTAGACAAAATACTATATGTTTGCAAACAACATGTTCTACAATTCACTGTCAAAATGCCTAGTTTAATAATAATAATAAGTGATAAAATATAAATAATTCTATCACTTGAAACACACATTACTTTGTAAAAAAAAATGTTGATTGGTCTCGAAACTGACAAAACCTTAAATATGTAGCTTTTTACTATATATATACACACATATATATATATATGTGATATATATGTATGGTTTCTCTACTTGTCTTGTACAGACAAGCAGAGATATATATGTATGATATGTCTGCTTGTCTTGTACAGACAAGCAGAGAAACAGAGAAAGAGAGACAAATCTTTACCTTTGGGTACACTGTTGACTAGGTAGAATAGCATCTGGGAGAGTGACTTTGTTCCTGTCCAGAGGATTCTGGCCTGACTCAGTGTGGTTGACCGCTCGATTGGCAAACAGGACATCATACTCCACACAGTTGACCAGAAATGTTGTGAATGTAACGACAAACAAAAACTGGCTGTTTGGAAGAGATAAGAACACAAAACATCTGCTTCAGATATAATCCAATTACAATATGTAACACTGAACAGAACCAGTGAATTAAAGTGGGCCAGATTGTTGACAGATCCCTGACAGGCTGAGGTCTCCGGCCAGATTTTCAGCAGCTAATGGTTAATGTGGTTCCATTTAAAAGGCCAATGTGACGATCGGCCAGAACCCAATATTTACAAGATTAAAACTCAATGAAACAGATGCAACACAGATACAAGAGTGGCAACAAAAGTGTATAAGAGACTGTATTTAAACCTCTTCTACGTACTGACACCTCAATGTAAAGTTTGGTAAGCACAACCATTCGCAAGTAACCAATCTTGCTAATGTGGCATCTGGGATGTGGATTTGTTACAAGTGAGGACATTTATCTCATTAATATTCCATGTGACCCTGAACCACAGATGAAATATAAATTAGAGGAAGAAATAAACATACGGCATCTCTACCATTGAGCAACTTTGCTTCAGGGGTTGCCAGAGCAGATCATCTGTCTACAGCCCTGTAACTTGGTTACATCAAACATGCCATGTGTTTTGTATAAAAACTCAGTAGCAGAAGTGTCATCAATGCTTAGCAATGGGAAACAAAAACTAAAAGAATTCACACAGCACTTAGTGTCAAAACCTTCCAGTCTCTTTGTGATTACTCTTTGTGAGTCTGAGCCCAAAGCCCCTCCTAAAACTCAAACATATAATGAATTATGACAGAAAGTGTTTGTCTTGTAATAAAAACACTGATAAAAACCACCAGCACTATCATACCATCAGTCAACCTTGAGCTAGAGTGTTTAATTGAAATGTCAAAATGTGTTATTGTTGTGCCTTAAACTGTAAGACTGTTTTTCCTGAAACTTACACAAGTTCGAAGAACTCGGACAACATCATACAAGCGAAGCCATTCTTTTGATGAAAATGATAAACGTGGAGAGAAGGGTTAAGCAAAATAGGTGAATTGAAAAGAACTACAAATATTTAATGTAAACTTCCACAAAAAGACATACTGTAAACTGTTAATGTTAAAATAACTGAAGACACATTTTTAAGAGGAAATATATTAGAAGTAACATGTTTTCATATTTATACCTTTACAAAAATAACATTGATGTCTTTCAAAATACTATAAAAAAAAAGGTTTTCACTGCTAGGTGATAAATATCAAATTTCAATTTCATTTCAAACAGTCTGATTATGATGTTTACACTGCAAGATCATGAGCATGAGTCAGCATGACATGATGCTAGTGGCATACAGATCTGCAATCTTCCCTAATCCTGTTATTTAACTACTCCGTGATTATTATAAAAGGATATTCTTGTGAAGAAATTGTCCAGGTTCTTTACATGGTGCCATGAATCTGTAAAAGAAAACAAAAAACACTCAATGACAACAAGAACGACTCATCATTAGGGTAGAACCATGTCTATTTAATAAACAAGCAATATTTTAATGAACACAACACTGACAGTGGTAAAAGTCTCTGTGTTGTTTCTTTTGAAAACAACATAACTTACCTTTTAGGCCTTCAGGCACATGTAGCAGTAAATCTTCCTCTCCTGGTGACGAGTCCTCCTCAAAGTCCTCAATCCTCTGGTACTCCCGATAAGCTTCCAAATTAGCCATCTTTGCTTTACATTCTTATATTCACTTAATTAATTAAATGCTTATAGTAAACACACTGCACATGTAACCAATGCAGCCTCGATACATCAGCTATGCATGATGTAGCTACCAGGATGACACGCTCTGGTTGTGACGCTAACGTTAGGCTAACATTAGCTTGCTATGTTGCTTGCCTGGCGAACAGCAGTTGTGTAACACTCCAATGACGCCAACTGAAAAACAGTGGTGTGGTTAAAAATCAAAAAGGTAGCTTGTTGTGTGGGTAAGGAGCGAACGCGTGATACACAATCTGACCACAACATCTACGAGCATGATAGCTTGCTAGCTTGCATGATTCAGCCACATCGTGTAGTCAGGGTGACTGACAACGGTTTGTTTTGTTCCCAGGTTTGCACGTCATTTGTTATCGCTGCTCCTCTTGTTTCTTTTAATTCGCTACAGCCTTGACCGTGGCGTGTTTCATGTAGACGCGCGATTATGTTCTATCATGACACTCCATTCCTCAGCCTGATTCGGGTTCGCGGTCAATTCGTTTCCAAAAATATACAGTCCAGAGTGCGTGTCGCCACCGTTTTTGTCTTTCACAAACTAATGTCAACAAAACGCCATTGACGTCACTTGGGGTGTAATGCTGCATTCAATGTTTGCCAAAAAGAAAAGGGGAGAACAGACTCAACATTTGTATGGAGTCGATCTGCAGCAGCGGTATAGGTTTCTCTGCGGGAATTTCAGTAGTTACAAAAATATATATTTTGCTCTGTCAGCACACAAATATGTATAGCTGCTGATGAAGTCATAGGTTGATCGTCCTTTTATCTCATTTGCAATCTTATTTACCATCTTAAATATCGTTCGTTTGAAATATAATTTCTTAAATTTTGCAAAATTCACATATTCTATGTATATAATAACATACAGTTTACAGATCTGCTAATTAATCGTCTTTTTCGCTGGTATATGAAAAGTGTCTGCTTTAGAAAACTGTACTTGAATGTAGCACAAGGCATCATTTCCGCTCAGGAAATGATGTTCAGGAAATGATAAATAAACGTATTTATCTTTTATTTTACGACACTCGTTTTTATGGCAAAATGTCAAAAAATAATTATTTTAGTTCATGAGAATAAGTCTAAAATAAATAATAAGAATATCCAGTGTTTGAAAGAAGCTGCTCAGCAAAGTAAACACAGAAATGCATTCTGGGTCGAAATTAATATGGCAGCCCGCAGGTTACCCGTGGATTACTGCACAGTTTAACCATTATTTGACACAACCAGGTTATACTGTTTCTGAAGAAAGCACGTATCATGCTTCAGATAATTTGTAGTAAAGCAAGCATCGCTGCACCATTTCGGTATTTGTCGGTAAACCAACGGTGCAGTAAACCAACAGACATCTGGAAGCTGTCACGGTAAGGCAGTATGATCGGCAGTGATCATCTGACAACGTGTTTATAACACAGGATCCAATCAACCCAATTTAAGTCACAGAGCAATTTTAGCATTCCCCAATCCTTTGGTAAATCTTAAATTTATGTTTAACTATATATTTTATGCTGTTGCAACGACTGCAGGAGGGCTTTAGATACATTTAATACAGGCTAAAAGTTATGGAGGAATTTACAGTAAGAAAATATTATTTAAATAAAATTGTTTAATACTGGTTGATATAAGACTAAATGTGTGCTCATTTGAATATAGTATTATATATGTGACATATGATGTTTATGAACCTAGTACTGTAAAACTAAAATGCTATTATCATTCAAATCATTAACATCAACATTTCAGAAGTGTGGTATCACTAATGTCTAGGTTATTTTCCCAGATCTCACTGCCACGTCTCATAAATACCAGCTGTACTTGATATCAGATGGGACTGTGCTCCCGAGAGCAAAGTCAGTACAAACCAATGACAAGCAGTTATGCATGTACAGTTCTAATGAATATGTTTTTTGTCATTTAGATGGTATACCTCACCAAAATCTAGTAGATACTACTCATCACAACAGGGTGGTAAACCTACTGCTCTGATATGGCGCGTCACTCAGAGAGCAATTGGCCAGTTAGCCAGACGCACATCAAACTCACAGAGAGTTTCTCTGAAGTTCCTTGTGGGACCAGCTGCACTGACTGTGTCTGCGCGACTGTTCTGCCATGTGGCTTGTTGTGAGGCCGATGTGAATAACAATGAGCTGGTGGTGGATGCAGACCAACAGACTGTGCCCGAGTTTAAATGGCATATCCTGTGGCAATTTGTCCGACCTCAGCTCCTCGCTCTTATTGGAGCTGTTGTGGTAAGCCTGGCCAATCACATGTATTACCATTGTTTGTAAGGATCAATTTCTCATTCTTACTTAATAAACTAAGTATTACTCTTATAGCTGGCTTTTGCTGCAGCCATCTTGAATATTCAAATCCCTCTAATGCTCGGGGATCTGGTGAATGTTGTGGCCCGATATCTGAGGGAAAATACTGGGAGTTATGTCCATGAGATTCGGATTCCTGCTCTGAAACTACTTGGACTGTATGGTATTCAAGTAAGAAATCTGTTGGTGTTCTACAGCAGTGTTGCATAGTAATATATAATCAACTAATTAGCATAGAAGTAATATATATGTATATTGTTTTGATGCACATTTTGTATGCATTGTATGCAACATTTATTATTATTATTATTATTATTATTATTATTATTATTATTATTATTATTATTATTATTATTATTATTATTATTATTAAATTATTTAATTATTCCTTTCGCTGTTAAGGGCCTACTGACAACTGGCTACATCATCCTGCTTTCTCGGCTGGGGGAGAGAGTGGCAGCAGACATGAGGAAGGCCCTCTTTTCCTCTTTGCTAAGGTACACATTGCAAAAACCAGGATTTGATACATTAACTGATGGCCTTTCAAATAGAAAAAAGTGTCTTTTTTAAAATAAAAAACAATTGCTCTCCATTAAATCCAGACAGGATGTGGCTTTCTATGATGCTAATAAAACTGGACAGGTGGTGAATCGTTTGACAGCAGACATTCAAGAGTTCAAATCTTCATTCAAGTTGGTTATTTCTCAGGTAGAAGTCGGCGTTAGAGTTGTAAAATGATTAATACTATGTATGTGTGTTTATTGTAATGCCTTCATTTATCTTTTGTACCTTTTCTTGCATATTTCAACAGGGTCTACGGAGTATTACGCAGACAGTTGGATGTTTCGTTTCCCTTTACATCATGTCTCCTAAACTCACAGGTTTGACGGTAGTCGTCCTCCCCTGTTTAGTGGGAGCTGGAGCTCTTATTGGAACATTCCTGCGCAGGCTATCCCGCTTGGCTCAAGAACAGGTAAATTCAGAAAAAGTTTTACTGCCACAGGGAGTGGTAGTCTTGATTGAAGGAGTCATCTGTTTGTGGAATTTTGCCATCTCACCATTAGGTGTAAATGAATATTGATCACTGGCGCCTTTTGAAGCAATTATGTATATGTGATCTGAACATAACTATGGGGAGTGTAATCAATTCCTGGCAATAAAACCTTTCAACTGTTACACCCTGGACCTGTTAAACTGAAGGTGGCAAAAGCAACAGGAGTGGCAGACGAGGCTCTTGGCAATGTGCGGACAGTGAAAGCCTTTGCCATGGAGGAGCGTGAGCTTGAGTGAGTGCAAATAGAATTATGTCCACTAATTATTTGAGGACTTTTTTTTTTGAATACATGTAATTCCAATTTTTTTCCAGGTTGTATGCACATGAGGTGGACAAATCCAGAGACATGAATGAAAATCTTGGTGCTGGAATAGCATTTTTCCAGGGACTGTCAAACATAGCCCTAAACTGTGAGCGTGCTGCTAATATTAATCGTTGAATCCATAATAAAGTAGATTGATTCTGTCACAGACATTGTAATGTTGAGCATTGTTTGACCTTATATCAGGCATCGTGCTTGGAACAATTTTTGCTGGAGGCTCTTTAATTTCCAGAAATGAGATGTCTCCTGGAGACCTGATGTCTTTCCTGGTTGCCTCTCAGACTGTTCAAAGGTCAAACACACATTAACATTTTGGCACTGAACAAATGCTCTTGAAAACAATAAATTATGTATTAACTAACTAATTAATCTGCCCAGGTATTAATGATATGTGGTTTTCTGTTGCTGAAGGTCCATGGCCAGTATCTCCATCCTTTTTGGACAGGTGATACAAAGCTTATATATGGTATACAATTATACATTTCTTGAAATCTAAAAGTTTCAAATAATGCCATAAACTCTAAATGTCTTTGCTGTAGATTGTAAGAGGACTTAGTGCTGGTGCCCGGGTTTTTGAATACCTAGATTTGAAACCAAGCATCCCACCGTCTGGTGGAGGATGTATACCTTACAATTCTCTGATGGGCAGAGTGGACTTCATGGACATTTCATTCAGGTTTGAGCACTGACACTACCTAAATTCAAAGTCATGTGCAGAAATTATGACATTTAAAAGGCAGACCATAACGATTATTGTTTTTTTTAAACTTCTATCAAATGTTTACAGTTACCCAACAAGACCTGGCCATCAGATTCTGAACAAGTTTAACCTTACTCTACCTCCATGTAAAACTATTGCCATTGTTGGAGAGTCTGGAGGAGGTAATGTCATTCTACAACAGTTTCATGTCCAAAAACTCATGTCCAAGCTTAATGTCAACTATCACTGTATTTTTATTTCAGGAAAGTCTACCGTGGCATCTTTGCTGGAGCGGTTCTATGACCCAACTGGTGGTGTAATCATGCTGGATGGACTGGACATCCGAACACTGGACCTCACGTGGCTTAGAGGTCAAGTCATTGGATTTATAAACCAGGTAGAGAAAGAAATAGACATATTTATCAAATGTATTGTTTCTGTTCTGCATCTGCCCCATTTATGTAGCTGTGGCAGCAATAATTAATTTCCTCACTGTCTTCTCTTCTATTTCTTTGCACAGGAGCCTGTTTTGTTTGCGTCATCTGTCATGGATAACATCCGCTTTGGGAAACCTGATGCCACAGATGCTGAGGTGATTGATGCAGCCAAACAAGCCAATGCTCATCGCTTCATCACCAGCTTCCCAAATGGTTATAACACTGTGGTTGGTAAGTGCTCTCATTTAAACACCTAATACTGCAAAGACACAACAGCAGATGTAAAATACATTGTGTAATAATAAAAACTAACAATTTCAGGTGAGCGAGGGGTGACACTATCTGGTGGCCAGAAGCAGCGCATTGCAATTGCCCGCGCCCTAATCAAGAACCCCAGCATCCTGGTACTGGATGAAGCCACCAGTGCGTTGGATGCAGAATCTGAGCGTGTTGTTCAAGAAGCTCTTGATAGAGCCACAAGGGGTCGCACTGTGCTCATCATCGCCCACCGACTGAGCACCATTCAGGCAGCAGATCTTATATGCGTCATGAGCAATGGTCGGATTGTGGAGGTGAAGTATCAGAGGGAGAATAAAGGAAAACCGAGAACCCTTTACTTCCTTATTAATTTATTAGAGCATATTGTAAAATAACTGGAGCACTGGAGAGACATGAGAGTCTGAGTAATTTATATGGATTAATTTATGCTTTTTAACTATATCTTCTTACTCTGCTTTATAGGCTGGGACTCACTCTGAATTGCTGACCAAAGGAGGACTTTACTTCGATCTGATCCGCAGGCAACGAGCCGAGGGACAGAAATGAACATCGCAAAACACTGTTTTTGTAGATCCAAGATTAATAATGAAACGGGATTATAATGATTTGTATAAAGCTGCTCTAAATCTATCAGTTTCATGTCAACTTTTGGGACTCATTTTACAAACTAAAAAAATCAAGTCTAACAGAATCAGCCTGTGGCACTTCCACTGTCTTAAAGATGAGATAATAGTGTTGTATGTTATTTTGTATAGAATGAAATGCTTTTAATGTACTGTGAAATAATTAAAGTCTGTTTTAATTAGTGGACTGCATTACCTTTTGCATGACTCATAAAACCAATTTTTTATTGTAAACTGTTATTTTTTTAACTATGTTTTGTAGCGTTTAATATTCTCACAGTCTCTGTTTTGGCCACAAGATGTCGTCAAACACAAACCTACTGCTGCTAACCAAGCAGGAGCTGTGGTATAGCTTTGAGCTAACGCTGGTTATCGGTTCATCACTAACCCCTGTCTGAGGCTTACAGTTAGCCGTCAGTTTGAAATCTGGCCTAGGGCTGGCTTTGTGATAAAACATGCAGAAATATGAAAAGCTTGAAAAAATTGGAGAGGGTAAGATTCTGTTATTTTTTTGCAGAGTAAACATTAGCGAGCTAGGTTTGCCATCGCAGCTATCTGGACTTACAAGATAGGCTAACGCTAGGACGATTAAAATCTACTTATTTGCATGTATACCTATTCAGCGCTTTACGTGTATATAACAGTGTTTTCATTATCACGTGTACATGCACATAACTGACAGGCATTGACATATCTGACGTTAGTCGTTTCCAATACTAGCAATTTCTTGTTTACCAAGCTAACGTTAGCACCATTTCATTCATCGATGCACTGACTGGGATTTTTTTTCTCTCTTTCCTGTAGGCACTTATGGAACAGTTTTTAAAGCTAAAAACAGAGAAACCCATGAGATAGTGGCTTTAAAGAGGGTGAGGCTGGACGATGACGACGAGGTATATTCCAAAAACAGAAACGGTATTTACTGTTTCCAGGGAAAAGAGGAGGCTGTTGTTAATGCCAGTGGTTGTCATTTGTTTTAGGGGGTGCCCAGCTCAGCCCTGAGAGAAATCTGCCTCCTGAAAGAACTGAAGCATAAAAACATAGTCAGGTTAGTGATAACTCAGTTAAAAGTACATATTTTAATATCCAATTTCTGCATTTTATTCTAATGTAAAAAAAAATAGATGTTATTAATGCCCATTGTCTTAAAAACGTGTTTTTAAATATAGAGTTGCCATAATTTACATTCAAATAAATACTTTTGTATTTTAACAACTATTGAAGGCTACCATAGATTCAGATTTCCTCAATTGTCATGAAAAAAAATGACGTTATTCAACACTGTTTTCTTCGTCTTTTCCCCATCAGTAGGGGGCACTATAATTAATTTTTTTTTTCGTTTATAGATTACATGATGTTTTGCACAGTGACAAGAAGTTGACCTTGGTTTTTGAATATTGTGATCAGGTGAGACAACATCTCGTTAAACCTATTTTCCTGAAGAATTCATTAAACTCACTGATTTTTTTTCTTTTTCCAATTACAGGATTTGAAAAAGTATTTTGACAGCTGCAATGGGGATTTAGATCCTGAAACAGTGAAGGTTAGAAATGAAAAGCGTACATCCTGGATAGTTGATCAATTTTGATGAACAAATGTCATTATAAACTAACAAAATACACCATAAATTTGAATATTTTGTAATTTCTGGTTGCATTTTGTTCTTTTTCTTAACCTGCAGTCATTCATGTACCAGCTGCTGAAGGGCCTGGCTTTCTGTCACAGTCGAAATGTTCTTCATAGAGATCTGAAGCCACAGAATCTACTCATTAACAGAGTGAGTGTCTCAGGAGAACATGGACTTTGACTTGAAAACGAGTTGAAAGTCGATTAACATTTGGGTGAAATGCTCTACTGGTTCTGTGATGTTGCCAAGACTGAAAAGACCATTGTCTTTCTCTGTACAGAATGGGGAGCTGAAGCTTGCAGACTTTGGCTTGGCTCGAGCCTTTGGTATTCCTGTGAGGTGTTACTCTGCAGAGGTTGGTTTTAAAAAGTCTAAAAAATGGGCAACCTAGCTTTTATTCCCTCAATTAAGATGTTTCAATACATTTCTTAGTCATTTTTCAATATTCAAGGGTAAGATTTTTGTAATTGACGTTGTGTTTTGTGGTGTGTTGTAGGTGGTTACCTTATGGTATCGACCTCCAGATGTGCTGTTCGGTGCTAAACTTTATTCTACCTCAATCGACATGTGGTCAGCTGGATGCATATTTGCAGGTGGGTCTGAAATCCTTGATGCAAATTCTAATCAAGTGATCGATGTGCATGGGAACGGTACCTTTAAAAAAAAAAGGAGAATCCTATTCAAATGCTTTGTGTACTTAATATATTAATCCAAAACTAAACCACAAAGTCTAATAGTTTTGTTTTCTCTGCTTTCAGAGTTGGCTAATGCTGGGAGGCCTTTATTTCCCGGAAATGATGTTGACGACCAGCTGAAAAGAATTTTCAGATATCTTTTTATAACTATCTCACTACAACAAGGGTCCTAGTCACATACCGTTCAGTGTGTAGGACTGTGTGACCACAGATGCACATGAATGATTGTTTTGAACACAGTCTTAAACATAAAAAACGTTTCCTTAACCACCTGGAACATTGTTGGGTACACCTACAGAAGAACAGTGGCAAACGATGACTAAACTCCCTGATTATAAGGTAAGTAATCCATATTTTTTTCACTGGTTCTTAGCTGACATTAGATCATTTTTTACAGTTGAAGTCTCCAACTGAACTTTCTTCACTGTTTTTTCCATCTGAAGCCATATCCCATGTATCCAGCCACCACATCACTGGTGAACGTGGTTCCCAAACTAAGTAGCACAGGACGGGATCTACTCCAGGTAAATTTCCTCTCATACTGCTGGTCTATTTCACAATATCGTCTAAATTCTAAAAACTACCAAGGCACATTTTAAAACATTTGGTTAGTTTTTTACAATTCCTTAGCAACAAATAGTTATTCCTGGATAAAGAAAAAAATATCCTACCCTTGCTCATGATTAATTGTCTCCTCTGCTCAAACCCAGAACCTGTTGAAATGTAACCCGGTCCAGAGGATCTCTGCAGAGGAGGCCTTGCAGCACCCTTACTTTGCCGATTTCTGCCCACCCTAAATGCTCCCAATTGTCGCCTGTTGAAACTCAGCCTGAAGAATCAATCTTCTGTCATTTTCAAACATTTCCCTGCAAGTCATTCTGTTGTGCCTCAATGTGAAGCAGAGTCTCTTGAAACTCTGCAAGCTTTTAGGTTCTTTGAAATGTTAAGATAAATTAATTTAAAACACACACCTCCAGGTTAGTAAGCACTGAAGGTGAGCTGTGTGCTGCGTTACATTTGGTTTTAGAAGAAAAATCTTTTCATTTACTGCAAGAATTTTTTTTTTTAATTGATGTTATCAGTTAACATTCACAGACTGTAAACAGGAAAGTAGACACCATCTGGTTGCAAAAATAAAACCCTACAAGTAACAGGAAACCACCAGGGGGCGACTCAGCTTGAGATCCTTGTCTCAATTAAACTCAAGTAAAAATCTCAGTAATTGTATTTCTGGGAAGTTAATGATGTCAGTTGTTAAATGAAGTCTATGTCAGTAAAGGTAATTACGTTTTGAACATGAGAAGGGCAGCATGATGGCTGTGCCCATGTTTTATATACAGCCTACACTACCTTTAACATTTTAGTACAAGCAGCTACAGTTACTCAAAGAGCCCTGTTATTATAATAGCTTTTGTTATTGGACCTTGCAGAGCTTCACGGCCTGTTTGCTGCCATTGGAAACTGTAGCCTAATTGGCGAGGCCTCCTAAAGGCCAACAGCAGTAGAGACATTCTTTAGACAAAGCAAATTCAAATTGTTGGGAGATTACTGCAACATTCTCCTCACACAGCGTGCATGCAGAAAGAAAATTAATTATATTAGATGCTTTCAAACCTGACATTTGTACTCCTGGCTCTGACAAAGACTGCAAGTTTATGTAAATATAAACAAAAGAGAGCTCCCAGGGACAGCCAAAGTTAAAACGTCACTATTTAAAAAAATAAATAAAATCATGTCAATCGCAGAAGAGATTGCAATTCTACATTGGGGATTTCTTTCGTTTGAATTTTTCCCTTTTTCTCATTTCGACAGTGTAAATGTTTGGAGCTTTTATCTTTTATAATAATTTTTTCCATTTGTTAATTCTTTAGTGTTTTTAATGCTCTTGAGGAAACACAGCTCAAAATGATTGTATTTTCTCTGTTATTAACACAAAGGATTGATGGCAAAATAATCCCCCCATACGTACCACACACACACAGGCACACACCCGGGGAATTCAATCGTTATATTGCAACCTACTTGTTTAATTACATAGACTAAAATGACACCTGAAGACACTTCATAATTCTGTCTCCTGTTTCACACCGCAACATTATGTCACATGTGAATCTAATTTATAACTTTTCTTTATATCTCCTATTTTGTGCACTTTGTTTTTATTTTTATTTGAATTGTTTCATCATCAATATTATTGAGACTGACAGCCAGGATTATACCTGGTTTCTAATAAATGGGCCAATGTTTAAGGTGATGAACAGTGGACCATTTGTAACGAGTGTATTAATTATTATTATTATTTTGGACACATTTTCACATTTATAGGCTTTTTTTAAGCACATTTGTAGCAGTGTCATTACTGGTATTAAAACAGTGGCAGGTAATGTGGTAATAATTTGAATTTTTTTTTTCCAGGTGATGTTTGTACAGAGTTTTGCTGTTCGCAGTGTTATTTTACTTCACATTTTTACAGTGCTTCTAAAAACCTCAACGCTTTATAAACTAGATTTACTTTGCTGGATGCATGTATTTATTGATGATGGAATGTCTGCTCTTTTTTGCTTTTGTTTCATTGTTGCACAACATAATTTGGTGCACATTCAATCAAACGGTCACAGAGTATTCCAGGTCTATAGTACTTTCCAGAAGTTTTAGGATTAAAAATCTTAATGGTTTGTGTTGATTCAATAATAGAAATAATAATAAAAAAGATTATTACATCATCTGCATTTACTTCTTTATTATCTCCCTACAGCAGGATGTTTCAAAGTGCTGTAGATTTACTTTTGTACAGCATAAAATTAGGTTTAAAACGCAGAGTGGCGTTTGCACTTTGCTAGTACCTTTGCTGTCTTAGATGAAAACATACTGTCAGCTGTTCTTTTGTGCATTGCAGCCAATTCGTAAAAGCTCTGTTTTCCGTAAAGTTGACACAAATATCTGTTTGATTTATGATTATTCCTGACCAGAGAATTCTGAAGAAAACAAATGAAACCAATGATTCGCAAAGGTTTTACACCACATGTCAACTAAAAAAATATCCAGCCCTCTGAGTACCACAGTAAACAACAGAATACAGAGATGTCACGCACTTACTCCTAAGAACTATTAAGTACCATATGCTACAGTTTCACCTCCGTCACTATGTTGAACAAGCAGTTTAAAGAAAATCCCCCATAGCACTAGAGGGCGCCCGAGTACAGACAAGAGATATAAATCTCATAGATTGAAAACCACACATCTGATTTTAAATACTAATTTTATTAAATTATTCTCACTGTTACAAAGGCAGAACTCGCTGTCACCGTAATCTGAGCCACGTCCAAACACCGAGGAGCTCACAGACAAAGTCAGACCTTATGTCAGGGGAAACTAAGTTCTAATCATAGCTCCTGTCACTCACACCGTCACTTAGACTACACTTCCACAAGCTCTTTCTTGGAGACTAGGTTACACGTTTGTATTGACCGTTTAATGTACAGTTCAGATTTAAAATCACATTATCTACAGTAAAATGCACACACAGCATGTGGAGGCAGATGAAGCAACTCCAGATTCCCACTGGTGGGAGTGCATGCAAATTTCAGTGGTACCAGTAAGAACCAGTCTTAAAGGCACATCCAAATATTAGTTGTTTTTTTTTTAGTTTCTGTAAAAATGAATGAGGTTCAGTTCAGTTATCCTCATGTGTTACAGTTTCTCATTAAGTGAGTGTTGGTTGAAAAACCAGGCCTGGATTTTCAGGTAAGAACGATGCACAACAGGTTATAGAGAACGCTGCATTGGTTCATCTGGCTCCAGAAGTACAGTTTAGACAATTCAAATAAACCGCATGTTGGAAATCACATAAAAAGACCCAGTGATGATGGGGATACACAGTGGTCATGCAGCAAGAAAATGAATGATGTGCTGTGGTGTATTTATTAAGAGTAAAAAGGAAATAATTAAAATCTCTGTACAGTATAGTAACAGTAACTAACACCTTGTAGTACTTGGTTATAGATATGCAGTAAATTCAGGTCTAAAACAGTTCACCACTGGTTCTCGTACGCACTCCTGTTCTCTGACGTGGGGTAAAGACTGTCGTCAGTTTTTACAATTCTTATGGCATTTAACAAACTGCACTATGACTGGGGTCATTTCTTTTTTGTTCAAGTGTTTTTCCACCACAAACAAGACTCACACAAGGAAATTCCATGTCAATAAAAAAAAATATATAATAGTAACACCTATTTTTGTTGATTACCAAATTCTATGCAAGTGATGTTTGGTTTTATGTGCACATTATGAATAAAACCTAAAAAAACAGGGGTGGCCAAAGACAAACACACTGTTCTATGTCATACAACACTTTTTTTTCCTTCACTCCAGAGTAGTGATCCCAGATATTTGTACTCAGGTAACACTTATATCTGATTTAGTGCACTTATTGCTCATGACAACACCAACTAGTTTCACTTCCTGTTTCCTGAAAGTGTTAACATTTCCTCCAGGACAAAGTCTCTTCAACATGTGTTGTCTGACCCTGGTGTTCCTGATAATGCTGGAGCGGCAGGCGCGCCAGGTTTAACAGTGTGAGCAGTTTAAACTTTTAACACAAGGTAGTCACAGACATGAGACGCCGGCCCAGTCATTGGCTTTCAAGTGATGGCTGATCTCCAAAGGTTTGTGCTTCACGTCAACAGTCATCTAATACACAGACAACAGAGTTATAAACTACAAAGATGCAAACATAGCTCACGGCTTCGGCATTATATTTGAAGGTTTCGCTTTGTTTTGTTTGTTTTTTCATTAAAAAAGAATGGAGTATTTATAGTACATGGATGCGTGTATCAGCGAAGGTGAAGGGATATTCACCCAGAGAAAGTAGACTGACACAAGGATAAGAAGGAGCGCTGTGAGTACATGAGTAAGATGGGTAAATATAGTTTATTATACTTGATCATTGATACATCACAAACTGTATTTGTGACTAATTACATGTTCTGCAGTAATAATGATATTAATAATAATATTAATAATAATATCAATAATAGGATACAATGAGGGAAATTGTACAATGTCTTTCTGCTGAGAATCAACTAAACTGAACGCTGCTGAGGTTTCCATGTTTTGAGGCAATTCACATGTACAGTATATAATAAGTCTCCAGCTTCCAGTCATGTGTTAATATAATAATCACCAGAAAAAAAACGTTATTTGATTATATATATATATATAGACTTTTATACTATTATCTATGGCATTAAGTTACGTTTATTTACAAATTTTCGTCAAGCGTAGGAACGTCACAGACAGACCTAAACTTCACTCGTGTTTTATAGAGAATAGATTACTATCATTGTGCTGATGAACACCGTTAAGACACGATACGGAGGAACCAGAAGTACAAGAGAGGCAGAAGAAATCCCCGCTGTTTTTGGTCTGATGATTCAACGACTGATCTGTAATAATTCCAATAATAATAATCCCATCAAAAATGGGACAAATGAAAAAAGTCAGTCATAAAAAGACTCAACCGACCACTTCCGTCCCTCCACACTGGGTTCTACACGTCATGTAAATAGCCAGTATATTCAACAAAAACCACCTGTTCTTCAGCCTCCGCACCTCAGTGTCCATGAGAAGTACAACTGAACACATTTGCATTTCTACAAAATAATAAAGTTCTTTCTGTGTTTTAAACTGAGAAAGCACAGTTTTAGTATCAACGAGGCAACGGTGGGCCTCAAAAGAGCAAAAGGCAACATTTATCACTAGTCCCACGTTTGGCTCCAGGTGTGAGCAGCTCCTGTCTCCAACATTCAGTTCTCCTCTCCTAACTGCCGACTAATGTACGGTAGCTCAAGTACAGCGTTGGTCGGAGATGAAGGAGATGTAACAGTGGTAGGAAACTGCAAAGCTACAAATACCTATTCACATTTATAACCTGTGACTATTTTTTGATTAATGTACAGGAAATAAAAGTAGCACAACAGCAAGTCGTCTCAACACAGGCCGCAAATCATCTCTGGACACTTTATTCTGTGATGACTGAATATTTTCAAGAGACCGTGGAAGATGGAAACACGCGCACAGATGGAACATGAATAAATTAATGCTGATGTTTCAACATGGCAGTTAAACCTGAGTTCTGTTTTGGAAGTGGTTTTCTTTTTTCCCCCCTCTGATGATAGTATTCTATTTCTATTCAGGCAATGATAAACTCTAATATAATATGTGTGTCTGAGGTCTACAGTCAAACCCCCCCTTTTTCTGGTAAATACATAAATTCACAGTTTGCTGTCAAGTCCCCAAGTGTGCAACCCCACCCACCAACCCTAACTCAGTGTTGTCAACAAGCAAACTCCTCGAAGTTGCCTAGAGTCGGGTGACGAGGTAACATGTTCGGCGTGAATCCGAGACTGTCCGAGTGACTCCGGAGTGTGTCACAGGTGCTCTGCAAAACAGAGGGAGGGAGGGAGGGAAGGAGGAGGGGAGACGAGTTCAAGCAAGGTCAAGGGAAGGGTGACCAAGGGATAATGATGATGATGATGATGATGATGATGTGGTAAAAACGTTGATGAAAATATACACAGGTAAAATAAGGGGAAACCAATGAGCAAAGGATTGTGGGACAAGGTAGAACAAAATACAAGAAGAAGAGAAAAGGCATTTGTTGTTAGATGTGATGCATTAAGACAATGAAGAATAATGACATATAGATGATTAGGGAGGCAGTAATGATGATGATGATGATGATGATGATTATAAATTTGGAAAGTAAAAGATCAGCAACATCACATTGGAGGAAAGAGTAAATTGAACAGAAAAGAGAGGAGACAAGAGAGAAAAACAACATATTTAAGTGACATTCTCATAAGGATTGAAACCAAAAAAATGTACCATGTACTATGTTTTCAGTCTGTTTTCAGTTACAGTAGAAGACAAAATAACTAGAGAATCCTGAATAATTATTTGAATTAGTCTAATCTTTTTTGTTTGTTTGTTTTGTTTTGTTTTTTTCCCTGTTGGACTTTGAAAAGCTTAACTCCTGAACTCAATTCTTGTTTCATATTTCAGAGACAGGAATTGTATTTGTGCTCATATTTTGTTAGTGCTTCAACTCAATAAGTGGTGCTCAGACTTGTGTCTCTGTGTATAAATAAAAGAAATCAGGTTCAGAAAAACCGTGGTTCAAATTCCTCTTTTTTTAAAGACATAATTCAGTCCTCTACTGTAGACAATTTCTTAAACATTGACAACAACACAGGCTAAAAAAGGCTGTTCCACCAAACAGAGAAACATTAATGTTTGGTGCCATCTCACTGCATGCAGACCTGTAATAACATCACATAGTGAGGCATCCAGTGATGTTATCTGGCACCGAGGACTGACACACACTGGTTTAATTGGACCTCTGTGCAGCAGGGAAACAAACAGCTCTCATGTAACCCAGGTTCTTAGACAATAATTTAATGAGTTATTGTCTAAAAATCTCATTACATAAGTCGTTTGTTTTCACAGGAAGGAGATGAAAGGAGCAGGTTTTTTGCCAAGTTTCATTTTTCGCACTTGGAGAATCCAACCAACCTGTGTCTCGTGTCAAAGCGATGAGAGCAGACACAAACCTAACGACTCCGTCTGGATACACAGACAGATGATAAAATGCTCTCTGCCGCCGGGTAATCAGCCCTTTTTGTTGGCTGTCTACTTAAAGCCAAGCAAATCGTTTGGTGCCACTGAGAAAATGATGTGTGAGATGGTCTTGTTAGGATGTATGAGAGAGAGGGACAGCATGGGAGGGAGGATCTATTATCAATGGGGTGTGCTACCTGGGGGCATGATTAGGCGTGACACCAGGGCTGGTTGGGTTCTCTGGAAAGTCCTGGAATAGACATGATGAAAAGAAAGATGGGTGAAGGTGACTGAAATGAAAATAAACACAGTGCAAATGCCATTAGTGTATGTCGCGGGGGAAACAGAGCTAGAGAGTGGTTTCCCTGCCGTCACGTCAGCCAAAGAGAAGAGAGGGGATTTTTTTTTCTTCTGAGAAAGCAGGGAAAGCACGGGGAAACGATGACAGTCAGACGTGTTGACGATCATCGGAGAGAATGAAAGTCAAACTGAGGAACGAACTCCAAAGCAACTACAAGCATTACTTGTTTGTCAAGTTGTGTGAGTGGAGGTGTGATGAAAAACAAGTTCACTGAACATGAGGAGAGATGGTTGACAGTAAACAGATGGGTGTGTGTCATGGATGGAGCAGAATATACAGTAAAACCTCACGTCAGAAGGGAATAGAGTTATATATATATATAAATATAAATATAAATATATGCACGTACACAGCCAGGATATATTTATGTAAACTAATCTGAGTCAACATTACTCCACCTTGTCTACAAATCAACCAGACATGCACAATCACAATCTACACACCACAGACCAACACAAACCCATGATCTGTGTCTTAAAGAACACAATAAGACCACACCCATCTCTGCATGCATTTTGAAGACGACCACAGAAGAGCAGATGAAACCATAAAATGTTTAGTGATGTTGTGAATTGTCGGTGGAGAAGCTTCATTCTCTTCCTAACAGACCTGACTGAGAACTAAAGAATCAGAGTCCATTACTAAAATCGTTGTGACCCCGAACTGGGTCGGTATCCGTATTTATTTTCTTCTTAATTACTAGACATTTCTGGTCTTGCAACTCAGACATTGAAAAACACTTAATAATTGACATTTAATAATTCTATTTGCTGTTATACATTAAATACTCAAAATATATTTTTTCAATCTGTCTTTACTGGACAGATTAGAGGCTGCAGGAAAATTGTTTGTGAATTTACGGTGTCAAACCACCGGGCTCAAACACAACATCTTACAGTAATTCAGGGCAGGACAATAACACCTTAAATCACTGGACTTAATTGAAGTTAAAAATATTTATTGCCTTGAAGGCAGCTTTGTAATTGAACCGTTAAAACACATTCTTTTCTTTTTTTAGCTGCTCTGACAGGATTCTATTCTGAGTTTGCTCTGATCACAGATAGTAACATTTAAAAATATGGCTCAGTTCTCATGGAATTGATGTAGGCACTGAGAAATGATTATGTCATGTGAGGAGCCTATAAGTCATAAATACAGTGAGCTGAACTGAGGCATAAAAACATGAGAAAAGCCGTGAAAGGCGAGAGAGAGCTGGACAACAAATCAACTCTGTTGGTGACACAAACTTCTCTATTGTAGTCTTTTACAGGTAAAGCCCATATAAGCACGGCTCCTCTGCAATAATTCTCCATCCAAGTACCAGCTCAGTAATACACCCCTGATTATGCATTCATACTGTGCAATAAAGAGAATGTGTGTAAACGTAATGACTTTTCTCCGGGACACAGAGGAGTTCCTGCCAGACTGATTACATTAGTGTGACTTCGACTTTCTTTGCTTTGTTTTTCTCTTCTTTTTGTCCCTTTTGTCCCTTTTTCATTAAAATCATTTAAAGTGTGAGCAGACATTTGTTGTTTCTTTGGTTCCTGAGCTCATCATGTCATTTAATTTCATCCAGTCAGAACCATTCTCTGAGACGGTAATTACCAGGTTGTCGCTCTGGCAACGTTGAGGCCGCTTTTTGCGTACGAAGTAACCCAAAACCTTATCTTTAAACACCTGAGTGAAAAAGACACAAAAAAACCCAAAGAGATGAAATACATTCAAAGCAAACTTAGGGTTGTATGACAAACCTGAAGTACTGGATACATCAAATTACTGAAGGAAACTAGTAGTGGGCCTATTAAACAATACAGTATATATATAAATGTTACTGAAGAATTAGGGCTTTTTGTACTTAATCTAATGTCTTTTACAAAATAAATTGTAAAAATAAAAGATAAATTAACAGAGAAGATGGTGAATAAGATCCATCAAAAGCAGAGTTCACGTATTTGAGCCATTTCCTGCCATGGCCTATCATCACCGTTCTCACTCCATATTGGGTCTATTTAAAACATTTAGAGTCTTCCACCTTGTATTTTCTGAACAGCAGAGCCCTTTGACTCTCCTTCTGTGGCTTCACCTTTGCCAACAGATGTCCATTTCCTGTTTACAGTCTGTGGTTTAAATCATTAAAATTAATTTAACGCTGCAGCTGGCAGCAGGTCAGCGTAACGTTGTGTGCAGAGATGAATTAAGTTATAATAAAGTAAAAGGCAAACAAAAAAGAAGTTTTAAAAGGATTTTTTTTTTAAGTAAGTACATTGTTTGTACATACTCCTACTCACGTAGTTCCATAATTTGCATATGGAACTACGTGAGTAGGAGTATTTTGAAAAGCATTCTACCAGAGTACTAATGTTTTCATGCATCTTTCACAACACAAGTCAAATCTTGGCCATTAACTAATTAACTTCCTAATTATTATCTGTTATCCATTCATTAATATCTTTCTAAAGTTCAGGTTTTACCTCGTATAGGTAGTCAAATATTTCCAGGATTGTTAAAACACTTGCTCCGATAAACAGTCCCATCTGACCTCCGATGTCACCTGGAGAGTGACAAACAGGAAATGAATGAATGAACAGGTGCAGTAACTGAAGGACAGTGGGTGAAACTGTCCATTTGAATTCACTGTCAGTTCAACTATTAAAATTATCAGTAGTTTCTACTCAGGCCTAGTGTCTTATAAGAGTTGGTTTGGCTCTGAACATATGATAAGTCTGTTCAAATTATAAAACAAAGTCACATTTTTACCAAACTCAGGAGAAACATATACATCTGGGATGAACAGAGAGAGCTCACCGAGAAGCCCCGCAATTTCATAGGCCTTCTTCTGTTCAATCTTCTCATAGTTCAGAGCTTCAAAGAAGATGTCCAACACCAGTATATTTTCTCTGGACAGACGAGACAGGAGTGCAACAACATTTCTTTTTTGTCAACCATACCACCATGAAAAACTATCATTTATATTTCCTGTATAAACTCTAATCTCCCATTATTGTTACATTGAAGGTGAACGATGGAGACTCTGGTGCTGCTACACAACAAGATATCCAAATATAGAAAAACCTGAAAAACTGACAACTACCAAGTGATACTTACCCAATATACTGCTCAGTTTTGTTGAATTTCTTAGCCAGATATTTAGCAGATGCCTTACTGGGGATCTTAACCATGGACAGCTCCTTGCCATAGCGGGTCATGTTGCAGGGGGTCTGACAGACACAGTAATCGTTGTCTTTCTCTACCAAAAAGTCTGTGGATGATCAAAGTCATTCAAACACACAGTGATAACCGTGAGGAGTGGAACAGACATGCAGACGCTCTGGGTTTTTATTTATTCTTGCATAAACAGAAAAGCTACATTCGCTGCCATCGTTCACTTTCCATGAAAGCAAATAATGACTGAAGCTAAAATAGTAGGGAGAGGAAAGAGCTGTGGATTTGTTCAATATCAATGAGGCATATGTCACATCGCACATTTCCCAGAATCAGAATAAGAAGTATTTTATTGATCCCTGGTGGTATTTGTTGAAAGCAGAGGTTCCAAACCTCTGCACTGCAGACAGAAACACATTATTTGCCTTGAATTAATAATCAGTGCAAAACAAAAGTTAAATACTGAAAAAAAGGATACTGATGCAACACACTGCATGTCACAATGAAGGTGTTTAAAATCATAAAGGTTTACGGAGAAGATGAGCATTTGGTTTCCAAAATAAAAGAAAGCTGCAGTCCTGTACTTAAAGCTCTGGTTTATTACAGCAGTAAATACTAACGTGCCAAACTTGTACTACAAAATATGCAGTTTACTTTATTTGGTTTCCATAGGGGACATATCATTTTCTTGGGCCATGAGAAAATTGTCACAATTAAAACTGCTCCGTGGGTATCATTTTCTTGGGCCATGAGAAAATTACAATTAAAACTGCTCCGTGGTCAAGTATCCCTTCAATCCATTACTTCATTCAGTATACCAGTTGCCTCAGTACTGTCTGTGTATGAAAGAAATTGCAAGTGAAAGCTGTAGACGCATTATCTAAAGTAGTGTAGCATGTGTGGACTCACCTAAAGCCGGATCAGCACAGTCCTTGTACTGTTCAGGTGTGCAAACCGTGGAGGTCCCTGTTTGAATGATGTAAAACATGAAACAATGACACGCCCATGTGGAGATTACCAACAACTACACCTCAAAAAATCACAAAGTCACAGTTCTCACCCGGCATGTGGACCATCCTGCAGTTACAATTTTCCAGCAGGTAGCGAGTTTCACAGTCAATACGGCAGGCGGTGATGCTGTACGTGGAGAAGTACTCAGAGTCTATAGGCGTAGACTTGCAATCTCCCCATGGTGGAGGGAGGTACTGCAGCTGAAATAACCAACAGAAGACAGTCAGGAAAAAAGAGAGAAAAAAAGAAAAAGAAAAGCAACTTAAAAGCACAAAAATATGAAACCAGAGCATGAACAAAAGTGGCAATACACGACAATATCAAATCATAACAGATAACCAAAAAAAACGAAACAGAAAAACATACAGATATTAAAATGAAAATGTGCAGTGGGACAGTATTTGCATAAAATGTCCAGGGACATTGTTGCTCATGTGTGGCAGCAGGCAGACATCATGCAAAATGTTACTGATGCAGGTCTAGTCCCTGGTAAGAAGCAGACTACCATGGGATTAGAGATTAATCTGAGAGAGAGAGAACTCAAATCTGTAAAATATGTTGTTTCAGACAGGACACCACAAATAATGAACATATTTTACAACCCTGAAGTGAAACTAGGAACAATGAAAAAAAGAAAATACAGTTCTCTAATTAACAACATCTCACTCTGGAGAAATGAGCAGCTGGTCGGTCTAATGAGAACAGGTTGGTTAAAATGGACTTCATTTGAAGACAATGGAGTGACTTTATGGTGGATTAACTACTGAAACACTGATGTACATCAATATTAAGATTGGAGCAGATTGGAAATGTACTACGCAGAACCGTCGCTGTGTTGTAGTTGTTGAACTCACTGACAGGGTGAAGACCTGTTCGCCGCGTTTACGAGAAGCCGGGGAGAAATCCAAACCAACTCACTAATGAGGACGGTTTAATGACGTGAGGTGTTAGGCCCACATCTAGTCTAAGACTCCTGGTGCTGAACTGGTGTTTGAGGAGACGTTTGCACAAGGCTCTGAAATCTGTTTAGTGCTGCAGTGCATAACATGTGAAGAGATCAGTGTTTTCTCTTTATGAAGAAAAACATTACACAGACCTCTGTACTGTATCATAATCATCATAACATGTCAGAGATCACTGAGGGAGCAGTCGTTTGTGGAGAGTGGAAAACAAAGCTTTAACCAAATGAATCGTCACATTTACAGGTTGTTTTATTAGTTTAGTGGCTCATCCTCAATGAGGTCAGGGGTTCAATCCTCTCTGCATTCCATTACAAACACCAGCCAAAACAATCTAATCAGTGAAGAATCTGACTTTACGCCTATTGGCAACATTACCAGATCACAAATAAACAACTTTTGTGTTGCTTTAAAATTATTACATTTATATATATATCTTCCTGTGGACAGTGCGGGAATGTAGCCAGAAGACATGGCGTCTAATCCTTAAATAATACAAACTAACAGCTGGACTATTGACTCAAACTGCTGGTGTCGTAGACTCTTATGCATAAGTGTAAGCTACGCACTGCAGCTTCAGATAACTCCTAACACATAACCACACGAAGGATTTCAATGATTGCCGACTACACGTTTTCGTGATTGTCCAGTTATTTATTAACGATGCCATGCTTGCTCTAGGCATCTGGGCAAATAACACTAATTGCGCAGAGAGCTGGCCGAGGATCGAAGCCGGAGGCGTCTCCCTGACAATCTTTGCAGAGAAATTATACCGTTATTGTCACATTAGAGCTCACTGTAATTACCAATCGTCTCCACCTGCTCCAACCAGGCCAAGTCCAACGGCTGAATGGTCACTTAGTCAATGTGAAGCGACGGAGACAGAGTGCAATTCACTGAGGAGGTCGGACCTAGATTGGCAAACACGATTATGCCTTCAGTGAACTCTACAGCTAGTGCAGGGAACTGGTCTTACAATTGAGACAAAACACAAGTGCTGATAAAACTAAACACCAAAGTGATGCCTTGACTATGTATATCAATAATTTAATTTTAATATGAAAATTACAAATAACACTGAGTGACAGAAAAGCCAAGCAAAACTGAACAGACCGAACAGGGAATGGATTTAAGCTGTGATGGAACAACATAAGCTGCTCTTTATTGTAGACCAAACATAAGAAATGGACACATTCATCTCTGTCCAAACTGTAAGTGAAACCACAGTTGTGGTATCTATTAACTGAAGTGAACAGCAAATCAAGGCTGTTTCTGTTTGAAATAACCATGTCCTGAATAATAGAACATCAATTTAACACTGTCCAAATAAGAATCTCATTTAGAGGAAAAAAGACTTAAACAGACAAAAGACAAAAACATAATGATAGGCAATTCAATATGTGACTGCTAATGGGAGCAATGTTTACACAATTAACATCCAAGGTCTAGGGAAATGTAAACTAACATTATAAACTACATTCACTGATTAAACTTCCACTTATAAAGTCGTACTTCCCTGACCGACCTCTAGTCTACTTCTGAGGTTTGACACTGCAACAACTGGATATTGGATATGGCCCAGATATGTCCATTTCCTAAGTCTATGTTGACATCTGTTGAACACACAAGACACTGACAACAAGGTGGAACTGCAGATGTACAGTAGGTGCTTCAGCCACACAGTCGAGGCCAGGCAGGTGATTCAGTCCTCAAGCGGAGGATGGCACCTGATGATGGATGTTTAATGAATGTTATTGGCTGGATATTTGACTGGTTGTTTCGAAAACACTTATTTGTCTATAGTTGGTCATGCAGCAGACCCAGACAGTCATACACTACCCTCTGCTCTTGGGTGGAAATGAACGTTTGAAAGCCGGGCGCAACCCCGAAGCCCAGCTGATGGAGGAAAGGAGGCTCCCACTGAGAGTGAAGCTGTACCTTTATGCCGGCCTCAAAGGACGTCTCATCTAAGGCAATGGGTAAAGGGAGCACATCCTACAGCATTATCAAAGGTCAAAGAGCAAGAACACGGCAATCCATCCTGCTGAGAGACAACTCTGCGGAGGTGTTACTACTAAAACAGCCACGTTTTGTAGGGATGACTGATACCTACACTAGTATTGGTTTTGGGCTGATGCCTGATGGGAAAATTGCCTATCCAGTGACCTGGTAAAGCAGCTGTGCACCGGTGGAGCAGTGATGTGTGTATACCTACTACAGTTCAGTGTCTCATCGCTGTCATAGGTCATTTTTTTAAGGTCAACATGGTCAGCAGCTGGGAGGGACATGTATTACAACATCAGAATGAATATGCTAATGTCTCTTCTGAGTTTAACTGCTGTGTGGACAGATGAGGTGAGCTGTATGACCTACACCATATAAAACTGCCTTCCACTTCATTAAACACATATGGAAACCGACCCTTAAGTATCAGCGATGGTACACAAATGAAAATACCCACTTTCTCTTATCCCTAATTGTTAGCTTTGGGATGGACATTTGTGTCATGATTACCAATTCATGTAGCTCTAATGCAGAGATGAGGATCAGCGGGTCAGGCTGAATGACTGAATGGTGACACATTTGTTGATCGTTCAGTACATATACAGGCAAGAATACACAGATACACAGTCCATATTATCCAAGTTATATTAAAAATAAAACTCGTTGTTTTGTGGTGTCCTGGTGTCTCTTGATAAGAGACTGTAATTCTGCTTCTACCGTCCCATGTTAGTCTGCTCCAGAGAGGGGTGGAGTTTCCATCTGATCTTTTTTTTCCCCTCCAGACCCACAGAGATCATTAACCATGAGGATAATTATTTAGGAGTAATTTAGAAGTGGGCACGACTAATCGTTAAAGGTAATGAATTGGATTTAGTGCTAAAGAAACCATGAGCTAATAAATATGTGGTATAAATTTTAATAAGCCTGAAGCACATGAATCCTCCTAATCTCAGAGGTAATCATTATAAAAACCCATAATTTCTGTGGCACGGCTGCTTGTCTTACAATGAAGGATTTTTTTTTTAATAATAATAATTTTTTGGTTGAAGGGAGACAATGGTCCTGATCTGACACTGATTCTGTTTAAAAATAGACACAATGTAAATGTTGTCCTGGCAACATCACGTAAGTGCTGTACACTTGGATTAGATCTGGATAGGAAATCCATGGGCGCTCACTCTCTCTCACACACACACACACACACACACACACACGCTGTCTAACCCATTTTGGCTCAGGTATGGTTATTAGTCATTGTTCAAGCAGGAGGGAAGTGACAGCTGAGGAATCACAGTTGAATTTCCTTTTGGAAAAAAAAAGCTGATAAAAGCTATTTCTGAATTTGAAAACGCTCACTACTGAGTTTCCTGAGTCAATATCACACTGTGCAACATCTGTAGCTGTGAAATGAAAGAACTTCAAATACTAATTCCAGAAAAGCTGCACCAAGATACAAATGCAATAAAAACTAAAATTATATATATATATATGAAAAATGTAGCAGCTGAAGTCAATAATTCAGCAGAAATAATAAAATAAATGCAAAACTGCAACAATTATATCATCAGAGATTATTAACAACATGTTAATTGGACCCAACGGCAAACAGCCTTTTCTGGACCAAGTTGCTAAGTTGCATTTACATCCTTTAATTTATATGTATTCACAAGACTAAATTAACAAGTTTTTTTATGGCTTTTGTTTAATAAGTAATAATTAAAGTGCATTATCTAAAGGCAGATTTAATTCATTATTATTATTATTGCTGAATCTCCTGCGACTTCTAATGGGAAAATGCAGTAGAAGATAAATGACTGAATGGATGAATTTATTATGGAGGTTTGTAAAAAGACATATTATCAGCTTCTTCTATTCTATTTAAACTCCTCCTCATTAAATCAAACCAACTCTGTAGCCCTCACTTTTTTAAGATCTTTTTAAGATCGTAAATTATAACTAAAAATCCTTTAATATCACATTTTGAAAGTTTATTCCTGAAGCTTTTTGGTGATTTTTTATTTTCTTAAATGTGCAGATTACTTGGTTTGTAAGGTTATATTTACTGTTTTAAACAATAACGTCAGTCTGTGTGATATCCAGAGCTCATCCTCTCAGCTTTCCATTGCCTCCTCTTTGAACATACCACAAGAGAGAAATTTCAAACAGATCAAAAAGCTGCTTTGAAATGATCATATTTTCCCTTTTTTTTCCACTCACAAGGCAGTGACGGCTGAATATAAGAACAAGCACCGCTGCGTCCTCTGCCTGCTGTACCCTCTCTGGTGATTAAGTTGAGCTAAGTTTGGTTGTAGGGTGGAAATTTAGCCACTCGTTGCCCTGGACTTTTAACGACTCTTTAGTGCCGTAAATCATCTGTTTGAATTATTCTACCCATGATTCAGTGGGTGTTTATTTGTTTCACAGTTTAACCGCAGATTTTCCCACTCATGATTAATCGCAGATCAGATTTTGCTCTGTGACTCAGGTGTAATGAGCCCCTGTGGCAGAGGATTCTGGGAGAAACAAAACAACAACAAAAAACATGATGCAGAGCAAGAAAAAAAAAAAAGAAAAGAAAACAGCGGGCATTTTGGGGAAGAAGGCCGAACATTAGGTACCAGTTGCTGCTGACATGACACAAAAGTTTGAAAACCCGGGGCCACACCAAATCCCAGTTGGTCAATGAAAGGCGGCTCATTCTGGCTGTGGATCTGAACCTTGATGCCTGCTTCGTAGGACGTCTCATCTGTACAATGTAATGAAAGGTGTGTGGTTACCCGTGGAAACTCACTGTCCGCCACTTTTCCCTTTTCCCCAGCAGCAGTGATGCAGCCGCTTTTGGGCAGAAACTTCACTAAACAATGCTAAAAATCTAATGCAGAGAGGGGGGAAAAACTCATGTATTAGTTTAGGCACAACAATATTTAACAGATTTCCAAAATTTACTGCATGCAAATTCTACTGGTGAATTTATGATACTAACATTTTGTTTTCCCACCATAAAAATGCAAATATGACAGTGACAAATTATTTTAGGACCTGTTGTCACATTTCGGGCCGAGAGGAACTCATCAAGATAATGGCTTTTTAAAGATGGTAGTAAATCACCTCTTTGTAGTTCAGCAGAAAAAAAATGACACGAAAAATATTCTGCGGTTATTTCACTGAATGAACAGAAAAACGAATGAACTGAAAAACCCGAGGTTTTGTCCGGTGACAGTTAATTATTGTTAATTAGTTTTTAAATAATGTTTTTACTGTTTAAAATTGACATATCTTATATAATGAAGCACTTGGGAATATAAACTGCAATAAAGTAGAAATACTGTAAATACATTTGCTTAAAGGACTTACTTTACTCCACATAAAGATTCATTTTAATGACATTTTTAATGCTGACATTCTGTGGCTTGTACACATTAATCCTTTACACACAGAACTACTGATGCACATTCAAAACTAATGAATCGTTTTCTTTTTAATTAAACTCTTTCACATCAGATTTTTTTCTCTCCTTTTTGTATATTTATTTTCTTCCGCATTGATTGTGTCAAATGTGCAAGGTCTATGGAGCGACACAGGGTTTCATTTCACTGTAATTATATGTGGCTAACTGGTCATGTGACAAATTAACTCTTGTGTTTGTGGTGGAGTCTGATCATTTCAGCCTGATCTTTAATATAAAACTCGTGAATGAATTCATGAACGGATCATTGGACATTTTTTGGAGCTGATTCTCAATTAGATTTTTCTTTATTTTTCTTACATGTGCAGCTCGACACCAAATGCAGCAGAGCTGACGTCTGAGTCTTTCAAATTTGGACTGACGGGATCTGATTAGAACACTTTTTGGTGTGGAACACTTTTCTTCAGAAGTATGCCACATGATTATTTCAAACCAACGTCGATGCTCCTCCTGCTCCTCCTGCTCCTCCTGCTGCTGCTGCTGCTGCTGCTGCAGGGGAATCGTCAAATATTTTTTCCCTCAAATTTTGATGTCATCACAACCTACTTTTAGGCAGTTTAAAAATTAATTAATTCAAAAAATTAATCAAGTTTCTGGAGATGTAGGTTAGATTTGACGAAGAGCCACATTCATAAGCTAAAAGTTGATTCATATAATAATTAATTTATAGTCTTAAATTAAATTCACAAAGATATTCAGCTTTTGACCCAGAGACAATGTTGTGACTTATTAATACACAAAAGCCCCTGTTTTATTAACACATGATAATAATCAGTACAGACTTGGTATTGAATTCAACTCAACTCTGAAAATGTTTTTCCTTTATGGATACTAATGTAACTGTTTATGTAAATGTTACCGTGACAACCGTGACACTGACCTGTCTCTCCCCAAACAGGAAGATATCCTCCTGCGTGAATATCCACCATGATCCCAAAGCCGTTCCCCGTTCCGCCTTTCAAAGTAGTCAACAGAGGGTTTCCGTCTAATCCGGAGTTGAAGGTGTAGCACTTTCCGTAACGGGTGTAAATCTGTTTACAAGACAGAAAAACATGCTGGTTATTTCAGCTCATACATTTTAAAAACAGAACACTTTGGTAAACAGAACAACACTAACCCGTGTCTATCTGTGAGACAAGAGCAGAAAATCATTGCAGTGGTTTTGTGATTACCTTAAAAACCAGGCGGAGGTTTAAACATCTGATTCTAATATTGAAGGAATCATTAGTGCCACAGCAGTAGTTGCAGTTCTTGGCATTTACTCAGTTCAGCTCCAAATTTCCCCTGTGTTTTGTTCTTTGATTATGTTAAATGTGGAATTGGAATGGAGTTAAATTGCAATTTTTAATTATATATTTGTCTCATCTTGGCTTACCAGCGTCGTCAGGGACCAAATATGTTCCAGTGAATCTCAGCTCGTAGCTGATGTTAAGTCAATAACGTGGGTTCGCTGGTATGAAAAACCTAATAATCTAATCATCCTAACTATCTTGGCTTGTTTTAATTCAGTTTCTTTTCCAACTTCTAAAATCACCACACTTGAGATATCTCAGGTGAAGAAATTAAAAACTACATATAGTTGTAATGATAAAGTTGGAGGAAAAAACGTTGGATTTATGTTTGTGTCATCATTTAGTTAGTTACTAGTTTAGTAGTTGATAGTAGACAGTCACTGATTAATCACCTAATCATTGCAGCTTTTGTTTGTTTCAGCTTTCGTACATCCTCCACTTTCAACAAATAAAAACGCAGTGATAGTCACAACAGAAACCTGCTCTTATATCTGGGTATCACTGAGATGAACTGCACCTCTACTTTTATCCCTAATTGATGATTTCTTTTTTGCCATTTACTTGAATGTCATAGCACAGAGTGGGCCAAACCTCTGAATCTACTCTGGTAAGAAACAGAACTGACAAAACCTCAGCCGGCATGCCAACAGCAGAGATGATCTCCAGAGATCCGACTCAGTGTTCCGTGTCCAGACACAGACATGCAGCCCAGATAGAGATAACGGAGCAGCGGTTCTTTCCCCCAGCTGCTTTATAATGAGCTCTGCAAAGACACTGGAGCATCCCTCCAGAAACACCTCACACTTCATGCTGGGATTAAATACGATTTTCTTTAAGACGAAATCTGGCTGCTTTAAACATGAGCATAAACAACAAACTGGATGTGCAAATAAAAAAATATTATATAATGTTGTCATTGCTAATATTCAAGGTAGGATTTCCAGGATCTCTGCAAAGAGTACATAAAAAAAATCATAGAAAAAGGTTATCTTCTCCGTCATTTCTCAATGGGCCACTAGAGATGTATGCCTACATGTACATCAGCAGGAGTACTTGTACCGTCATCTGGTAATCACATCATTAGTCAAACGATTGTACCAGTCATAATGGTTGCAGTTTTTATGCTTGCAATATCCATTCCACTACTGGTGCACAGTTGCACTGGGTTTTTAAATAACATCTTTATAATAAAGTTTTGAGTGATTCACACACCAAACCAAACCAGCACAGTGGTCCTACTGCTACTGCGTCAGTTAGCATTCTAGGTTGACATCTACATCACCAAATACATTTTATATATTATATAATAGGAATCACATTTATAGGATTCATTTTCAAAATTCATCTACAGTTGAACATATTTGTTAATACTGATGACATCGATCAATGGTCTGAGAAGCTAAAAGTATTAAATTATACCACTGCAGGTCATTACAAATACAATTTATAAATATCCCTGCAGGTTAAGGACAGGGGGCGCTATACCATCTTTATTTACCCACTGTGAATACACATTATTCATGTTCTACATTTAAGAAGCATCCAGTAATAGTCCATGTATGGACTGAAGCTGTCAAAGTGAACTCACTTTAGGACTGGCAATGTCCTGTGTTTAAATGCATTAACATGCTATTGTTGAATCTGCTTCAGAGGAGTTTGAACTCAGATGTTAAGTGCTTGGACGATTCTCACCCCAGACATTTGACCTTGTAAATACCTTTTTGATGGAGTTAAAGCTGCTGTTTTGTGTGGGAACGTGTCCATTAGGAAAATCTCCAACCCCTGAGTAATAACAGCATTTGGCAAATGTCATCCACCCTCTTAATGCAGCATTCACTCTCACTCTGTCTGGAGTTTTTTAACAGAAAAATCAGCTGTACAGTAACTGAGCCTGACATCTGATCTCCAGATGTTCACAAACTGACATTTTAATTTTTAATGTTGCATGATGCATGAATTTTTAATGCTCTCTCTGTTGCTGAGGTTTCAGTACAACCAGGGCTGACACTGAGGCTGAATGAGAAACTCAAAAACCTGTAAAATGGACACCAAAGTCATTGAAAACATTGATTTTCCCTCCACAACCTGAAGGAAAAGCTGTGTTAATTTCCCAGAGTGACTTCCTGAAGTGGACAAGTTTAAATAATTCAGGAGGTGTCACGTCTGAAAATGCACGGGTTTGTCTGTGGGTTTGAAATAACCACACCTGAAGACTTCTGCTGAGAGCAGATCTTAAAACTGCTGTAAAATTTGAACAGACATTCTGAGTAACATTCATGTAGAGACCTGTCATAAAATAACGTGTTTTGTCTCATGTACATACAGTGCTGAAGTTTTTGTAGGTACAGGTTTCACCCCGGAACCTGCACTCCAGCAGCATGTCCTTCAGCTGGTGGCCCAGACGCCCCATCATCTCCGTCGTGTTGATGCGGTACCCCGGTGGTGGGGAGTAGTTTTTAAAGTCCAGCAGACTGAGGAGACCCTGTTTCTGGTTTTCCTTCAGAATGGACAGACTCCGCTCCATCACCGTGTGATTAGGATACAGGAGGTCCATCCAGTAGCCACTGTGATACAGGTCGTCCTTGGTCAGAGTGGACACACGAAACACGTTCTTGTTGCAGAACGTAACAGCTGGGAAGGACATGTTGTGAGCCCACACCATGTAAATCTTTGTGACAGCCGGGTAAGACATCAGGTAGAGGATTCGGTTCCAGGACCAGGTGGCCAAGAGACCCACACACACAACGAAGGCCATGCTCCAGATGAGACGCTGTGGTTTGGACTTGTCTGGTGAGAAGACAAACTTCAAACCGTGAATCTTGGTTCTCATTATGAACGCCACCGTGATCTCCTTCCATGATGTTTTGAGCGAGCTGGAGTCAGTGTTTTGGAGAGTTCTTTCCTGGGCGCCATGTTGTTTGTGGGGCCCCAGGGTGACTGATTCGGATGTGGAAGCTTTGACCATAATTGCTCTTGGCAAGACAGGCGCTTCTCCAACAGACGCAGTCTCTCAGCAGCCCACCCTGTACTCCCCTAATTTATACTCAGTGGCTTTCTCCACAACCATTTTCAGGAAGAAAAAAAAATTGCAGGTAGCAGCAAAGTCCTACAGCACAGCTGTCCCACTGTTCAAGCTTGAAGAGGTACAAAGAAAAGGAGGACGCTCGGAGGGTGAAATAAAATTGATTTACATAATGATTCCTTTATGAGAAAAACAGCTCAATCACTCCATTAACAAAAACAATCAGGCGTAACCATCACCAGTCCTTCATCAGGAGATAAATGCACATGGAAATTGCAGATGCGAGCGCCGCCTTCACTCCCACAGGCAATCACTTTGAAAATCCGGTGTGGCTTACCACTGTTTTCTTGCCCCTGTTGCTCAGATCTTTCACTCCATCTCCCTCACCAGTGGCAGACAGTACTTGCAGATTTCTACTGGTTTCTCTCTCTTTGTGCAGTGGCTGCCCAGAATCCAACTCCTCCCTTTTTTTCCCTCAAAGATTGAAGAGATGCTTTTTAGTGTGTAGACTTGCAGCCTGCAGAAACGAATATAGAGCTTGATGCCCTCCCTACACTCTCCACAGTCGGATGGAGAATGAGGTGGAGCCAGTGGATGAAATTGTTTTCCTCTAGTGATGAAGCAGACCTCCAATGGTGTGAGGCAGGGCGAGGTGGCAGCTGAAGTCAAAATAATGGTGATGTTTGTTTCACCGTGCAAATAAACAAACAAAAGAAGGTACTGATGTATGTAATAGTAAATCTGCAGCTAAGTCAGGGATCAATATATATTTACATATCGATAACTCGATAGAGACAGCTGGGTGGAGGGAATGAAAATAAGCAACAAAAACATTTTGGAAAATGGTGGAAAACAAAATCCCAGCACATTTTCTGACATTCTGCTGCATGCAGATGTGGCTGATATCACAATTATGGAAATCTGTTACTTTTTCTAGTTTAGTGTCATACCACAGTATCAATATTTTCTTATTACATTCTCTGGAACTTCAACAATGGCAGCGCAGTTTCACTGCCGTGAGTGAAACCCATCCATGAAACGCTGAATCTGACTGGACACACAGGAGCAGTGGGCTGCACTTTTATTGCTCAACACCAGCAGGACTGGGATTCAATCCAGCAAACCTTATATATATATATTATAAAAGATTTTTGTTCATACAAAAGTCAGACTTGAAGTACTGCCTTAAAGGGTAGTACTGACATTTGCAGTATCATAAAGTCTTAACTCCTATTTTTCAATCTTCAACATCACAGTCTGGAAAATTAGACATAAAAGTAAAAAGGAAGTCGACTGTTAATCACTGGTTTCAGAATAAAGGTCTAGTATGGCTAATAAAATTCCATGTTGCTGCGTCATGAATTTTATGTTAACACTAACCTCCCGTTTTAATACAGTTTTTCACTTATTATACGCAAAGATAGCATAGAAAACACACAATATATCTAAAGCTTATACAGCAAGAACTTGAATATTTGTACTGGAATTTTCAGGACTTTTAATCTAAAATGGAATGATTATAATATTAATAATCTTAAAATACCAATAAAGAATCACAGACAGTGCTTTCCCATCCTAAGTGTTATGATGAGATTTAAAAAAAGGGGGGGGGGGGGGGATTGAAGTTTGAATCGAAACAGATCTCCACTGAACACATTCAGACAGACCAAGGACAGAGAATAGCAGGGAGCAAAAATATTGAGTTTAAAATGGATGT